CAAGTACAAATAAATCACATCCACGGATATCCCCTTTCACGCCGAGTTTTGACTCGATCTTAAAATCACTTGCAAAATCATTTTTTACCTGAGTGCGTTAGATTCAGTGAAGCATTCCGTGATCCTTGTGATCAGCCGGCTTCTTTTTTCAATACCCTAGTGTGCCCCCAAAAGTGGAGTTTTAGATCCCTCCAGCTTGTGAGTTAAATCACTGATTGGAGATGCACAGGGTCCCTTCCAAAGAACTTGATGTGGGTCATACTCTGAAAAGTCACCATGACAAATCTGCAAGCAGGGCGGCAGGGTGTGGTTTTTGACCAGAAAACACCACTCCTCAAATTGGGAAGTTTCACTTTTCCTAATGTCTTGAGTACCTAATACATTGGTTTGCCTTCTTCTAAGGAAGAATAAATGAATGCAGCAAATCAGATGACACCAGCCCCTCCCACCCCCAGGGATATGTCAGCAAACTGTCCGGCAGCACCCCGAGAGGATGGTGTCACCCTAACATTACTTTCCCTGGTAGATGAGAACTTCTGTTCCAGAGGCTAAGAAACTCTGCTGTGTGTACAGGCTACCGTGTGCTCCTGATACCCTTTTATGCTCCTTCATAGCCATGGGGAGCTGGCTTTTCGACAGAATGTTCCTCTTCTCTTAAGACGTTTTTCTTTTACTTGTTTCTTTTTTTAATGATTATTTTATTTTTAAAATGTGGGGTACAAATGAGTTAGGTACATCTGTGGTCATCATACAGGTAAAGTGGGGGTACTCTTAATGATGTTATATGAGGTTTTTCATGATTTTGGTGTTTGACCTAATTTTTTCCCTCCAAATCTTATGAGTTCATCACTGCTCTTGGTTTGACCTGAAGGAAGAGTAATGTTCCTAAGCCCCTCTCATTCAGACAGGAACAGATGTATCTCTTTCAATTTAAAAGTTAGTTGTTATGGCAACCCCCTGGGGTCCCCTCCCACTGTGGGAGCTTTTCTGTCCTCTCAACAAATCCTGCTTTCTCACTAAAAAAAAAAAAAAAAGTTAGTTGTTGTAACATGTTTATTAAATTTCAAGAAAAAAATAAGACCCTGGCTCTGATAAGCTATGTGGACTGTCAGATTTCCATCATGACCTCAATCCCTCCCTATACACATTTTTTTTTTTTTTTTTGAGTCAAGGTCTCACTGTGTCTCCCAGGCTGGGGTGCAGTGGCATGATCACGACAATCATGGTTCACGGCAGCCTCAACCTCCTGGGCTCAGGAGATTCTTCCACCTCAGCATCCCAAGTAGCTGAGACTACAGGCACATGCCACCATGTCCAGCTCATTTTTTAAAATTTATTTATTTATTTTTTTGAGTTGGAATCTCACTCTGTTGCCCAGACTGGAGTACAGTGGCACACTCATGGCCACTGTAGCCTCAACCTGCTGGGCTCAGGCATTCCTTCCGCCTCAATCTTCCAAGTAGCTGGAACTACAGGTACACACCACCATGCCTGACTAGTTTTTTAAAAAAATTTATTGTAGAGTTGAGGTCTCGCCAAATTGCCCAGGCTGGTCTCAAACCCTTGGGCTCAGGCAATCTGCTCACCTCAGCTTCCCAAAGTGCTAGGGTTACAGGCTTGAACTACTGCACCTGGCCTTACTTTTAAATTTTTTTATAGAGACAAGGCTTATCTGTGTTGTCCAAGCTGGTCCCTGCACACATTTTGTACTGACCAAGCAAAGTACACAGTCTTCAGAAATCTTACACCCAGCCCTCAACTTTCCAAGGATAGCCCAAGAAAGGCAATTCAGAAGCTGGTGCTTTTTTTTTTTGAGTTGGAGTCTCACTCTGTTATGCAGACTGGAGTGCAGTGGCACACTCACAACCACCCGAGTTGACCTGGTGGGCTCAGATGATCCTTCTGCCTCAGCCTTCCAAGTAGCTGGAACTACAGGCATGTGCTACCATGCCCAGCTAATTTTTTGATTTATTGCAGAAGTGAGGTCTCGCCAGGTTGCCCGGGCTGGTCTTGAACCCATGGGCTCAGGCAATCCTCTCACCTAGTCCACCCAAAGTGCTGGGATTACAGGCTTGAGCCACCTCGCCCGGCCAAGCTGGTGCTTTTATCCTGAGAGGACACACAATTCCATAATCCCTAACCCCAGTGATTTCAGTTTCAGTTTTATAGTGTCTGTCAGTCACAATGTCCCCGGAACATTTAATGAATGGTCATTCAGAGAATATGACACAATTACTCCTGTAATTGCCAGCAATTAGAATGGGTGGGCGTGGGAGGGAAGCTGAAGTCAGATATTAACTCAGTCTGGGGTTGGCCATTCTGACTAGTTAGCACATGCAAGCTTGGAAGGTGATGGGAGTTAAGATTGCCTAAGAAAGAGGGCTTTGGAGTAACATTCCTGTTCTTTATCCTTTGCCAAGACTTCCACTTAAATTCTCTTTGGATTGAGAACCAAAACTGTTTCCCTGGTTACAGAAAGCCTATTGGTGTTAGGCAAGAACAGAAGTTGGGTGTGGCAGCCTCCAGACACTTAGAATAGCAGGTATTAGATGTGTGTATACACACACACACGTGTTTATGGGTGTATGAATGCATGCACATGTGTGTAGCTGCACTCTCATGTGAACTTATGATGCCAAACTCCTGTTTCCTCCTTGGTGAAATAGCAGAAAAGTGTCATCATACTCGAGTCTGTATATGATATTTATGTTCTTTTACAAGTAATATTTTTGGTGTACCTTACGGTGCCTAGCGAGACACTTAGGACAGGCATCTTTATTTTTCTTCCTAAAAACAGGAAGGTTTGATAATTAACAAAATGTACAAAAACATTCAAATCAGATATGCTTTAGAGTGTGTTCAATAAAGTCAATAATATTTCTCCCTGAGCAGAAAAAATAAACTATTTCTTCAGAAGAGCAAAAGAGCAAAAGACTCTTAAAAAGCAATGGAAAGATTGGATTTACATTAGTATTATTTTACCATTTGGAGAGGCAATGGGAAGGTGAACTGATTTGCTAATGTTCAGGCATTTGGGATTGCTGTAGAGACTATAGGTAATTTGTTGAGCATTGAACAAATTTTGAAGCCTGCACATATATGAGCACAACTGCAATTAAAAAGTGAATGGTAAAACTAGTCTGGCACCCATTTGGCATATAGGCATTATTTTGCTCCACTGTAAAGCACATAGCTTCAAGGGCTGCCAGTATGATTGGAGAGAGACAATCTAAGTGAAACTATAGAAAACATCAGTTAAATGTATGTCGAAAGTAAATCCAAGATATTAAACATGAATTCATAAGAACCAAGATGTGGTCTGAGACAGATTTAAGGGCCAAAAATAAGAAGGCTGGTCCTGAACAATTTCCATATGAAATTATGCAAAGGTTTCAGGAGATTGGAGATGTCCAGGAAGTGTACAGAATGACTTCAATGAGAAAACACGGGAGCAGCGATCAAGAGATCCTATGTTTAGTCTCGACCGTCTCTCGGTAGTTGTATGACTCTGTGCAAATCATTTATTCCTCCCTCCAAATTACAATCCCCTTATCTTTGAAATGAAGGTACTCCCAAGTGCTGCTCTGTCTCTCAGACTAATGAACGTACTGATGCCTGCCACAGCGTTAAATGTGTAGAGCTGCTACCGCAACTTATTTGTTTCTACTGATGATGGTCTTTTTTTTTTTTTTTTTTTTTTTTGAGTCGGGGTCTCACTCTGTCACCCAGGATGATGCAGGGCAGTGACACAATTGTAGCTCACCACAGCCTCCTGGGCTCAGGCAATCCTTCCACTTTAGCCTCCAGAGTAGCCAGGACTACAGGCATGCCACCATGCCCACTTATTTTTTATTTATTTATTTATTTTTTATTCACTATGTTGCCTGGGCTGGTCTTGAACTCCTGAGCTCAATCATTCCTCCTGCCCAGGCCTCCCAAAATTCTGGGATTACAGGTGTGAGCCACAGCACCCAGCCATGATCTTGTTCTGATTGATAAATTGTTCTCTTTGGTAAATTTTATAACAAAAGAACAGATTTTTAAAAACAAGAATTTAGAGTATAAATATATCACAGTTCAGTTTTGTTTTAATTGTGTGATTCATCAGTCTGATTTTTTATTATAAATATGTAAAATTATTTATCATAAAACATTTCTGGGCCGGGCTCGGGGCTCAGCCTGTAATCCCAGCACTTTGGGAGGCCGAGGTGAGTGGATTGCCTGAGCCCGTGGGTTCGAGACCCGCCCGGGCAACTTGGCGAGACCTCATCTCTACAATAAATCAAAAATTAGCCGGGCATGGTAGCGTGCGCCTGTAGTTCCAGCTACTTGGAAGGCTGAGGCGGAAGGATCGCCAGAGCCCAGCAGGTTGAGGCTGCGGTGGCCAGGAGCGGCCACTGCACTCCAGTCTGGGCGACAGAGTGAGACTCCAATTCGAAGGAAGGAAGGAAGGAAGGAAGGAAGGAAGGAAGGAAGGAGGGAGGGAGGG